AGGGTTTAGGGTTTAGGGTTGCACATGAACTCTCGGCCCTAAACCCTTATGACTTATAGCAACCCTTCTGGCAACCCTTATCGAAACCCTACATCCTTAACATGATTGAGGGCCGAGGATTGGGATTTTTTGGGCAGCAAGGAAATCGCCAAGGGAGACCCCGCCTTGACACAGAAGCAAGAAGCGGCTTAGGATTTGGGGTCCAGGCTTTGGGGCTTTGAGGGCTTAGGGTTGAGGGTTTAGGGCTTAGGGTCTAGGATTTTGGGCTGAGGGTTTAGAGTGCAAAGTTGTGGTGGCAGCGGGTTACATCACTCATCCTCATGCAAGCGAGAGCGACTGAGACAACGGCTCTCCCAGGATTAAACACCAGAGCCCTGAGCCCTAAACATCTCTTGACGTTGAGCCGTGGTAAGTTGTGACTAAGGCCCTGCCAGAGCAACGTACCACAAAAGTCTCTCATTCTCACCATTCGGGCCCCCATTTAGGGTTTAGGGTTTAGGGTTTAGGCCCCCGTATTGCGTGACGGATCGGGGAGCCGGCGGAGCCTTCCTTCAGGGGTGGAGGGGAAGCCTTTACACACAAATCCCCGGGTCGGAGAAGCTTTGTTCCTCGCTGCTGGGTCCTACCGCTGTTTCGCTCCGAAGCCGATAGAAAGACTAAACCCTAAACCCTAAACCCTAAACCCTAAACATATAAATTCCCAGGCCTGTGCAGACCTTTAGCATCCCCAAGGCCTCTAGCCCGGAACCCTAAACCCAAAGCCTTGAACCCTAAAGCCTAAACTCGAAGCTAAACCCGTATCCCTAAACCTTAAACTTAGAACGCCCGGACTTTAAGCTGGAGTTCAAAGCAGGAAGAGGCTTTGAAACCGAAAGGCACTTGAGACACGGCATTTTTCCGAAGGGCCCCCGAGAGTCCATGCAGAGCTGGACACAAAAAGTGGTCGTAGGGAAGGCGGCTCGGACAAATTTAGGGCTTAGGGATTTCGGGCTTAGGGATTTAGAGATTTAGGGGTTTAGGGGTTTAGGGATTTAGGGTTTTAGGGATATAGGGATTTAGGGATTTAGGGGATGAGGGCGAAAAGGCGGCAGACTTTCGCCAACCACCCTACGACCGGCGGCGGAGCCTGCGGACCAGCTTGGGGCACACCCTTGGTCCCGAGTCTCCTAAAGCAAGGGCCGCTGAAGTCGGGACATGGGTGGTTCCCTAAATTCGGGTCCCTTTTAGGGTCCTTTTATAAGGGTGCCGTACTATATTTGGGATCTAAAATGGGACCCTAATTTAGAGAACTACCCACATACGTAATAAGCGGGTATAAGCATAATGGCTCCGATTAAACGCTGTTCACTACGTCGCATGATCCTTGAAGTGATGTTAATCCGTTCGATTTGGGGCATCAGTTCGGCTCTTGCGGACGTGGCCATAGACAAGATGAGGCCAGGCCTCGGCGTAAAGTGGGCCGGGGCGACCTGGCTAAATGTAGCCGGACTTGCTGCAAGGATCCGGGCACTTCGCTTTTAACCCTGAGCCAGGTTCTTACAGCTTATCACTCAACCCTAAACCCTAAACC